GGGGGGGGGGCAGGGGGGGGGAGAGGGAGGGGCGGGGGAGAGGGAGGGGCGGGGGAGGTGCGGTGATGCAGTGACTGGGAAGCGAGGGGCAAACTGCAAAGACGTGCGTCCTGCCGACGCAGCAGCGCACGCGCCAAGCACAGCAGCTGCAGCTCACCCACAGAATAGTTGCCGCCACCTTCTTCGACCTAAAAATGCTTGAAACAACAAGTAGATTTGCGCCCTTTTCGCCTTTTGACCGGGCCTTGCTGTCAAGGCCTCCAGCGCTTTCGATTCTGGGCCTTTGCTCACGTGTGGCTGCCGAAACTCATGAGTGTCTAACACTAGGCCCGGCTTCAGTTGGCTCTTCTCCAAAACCTAGGCAAATCATCAGCTCAAGCCAAGCGGATCCAAGTGCTGCCAACTTGGCCTCCCAAAGCTCCTCGTCAAAGGAAGTCAGAAGGAAGCGAAGCAGAAGCGGCGAAGAAGCGGCTTTCTCTGCAGCTCCAGAACAGTCCTCGTCAGATTTGGCGCCAAAGGGGTCCAAGTTGAAGCGAACCTTTCGAGTGAGGAGAAATGAGATGACCGCCCCTCCCCAGCAGCTCTAAGGGCCGCTGCCGTTCCCGTCAAAATTGCTGGATCCTCGTGCGAGCACAGGAGACTTATGGAGAGACATTTCACACATTTCAAACGATGCAGCTGGTCCATCCTTGCGCTACACACCCAATCCATTCACATCAACAACGCGCATGTTTGCAGCACACATGATGCGCTACAGAGCCTCAGGGTGAAGGGGGGTCCGGGCGAGCGTGCTATCAATAATCTATCACTACTGACATTGGCATACCAAAGCGCGCGCCTGAGGAATCATCGCTACCTGGGACATGCTCACAACAGTATCCCACAACAGGAAAAGGGCATGCGCGTCGCATCGTGTGGCACACTTTATTTGTGGCGCACCTTGCTACGAAGGTCGTGCAGCCCAATCTTGCTTATGTCCACATTGTCGATGGCGATGGAGCCAGCCTGCACCGTTCATCACGCAAGCGGACTCCTTGGAAGGAAGTATTGGGAGCCATTGGGAGCACTAAGCAGTTGAACGACACATGCCCCTCGCCAGATCAACGAAGCTTATCCCAAGCTTACAAGTATGCTTTTACATGGTGATAATACGGCTCCCGTTCAGGGCTTGGCCTCGAGTTCCACCAGCCGAAGCAAGGTGGACAGAAAGGAGGATTTCCCACATCCTCAAACCACAGAGCTTGGAGCAACTGCCAGCAACTGCGGAGTGACTGCAACTGCAGAGCTGCGCAAAGCTGCGGCCTGTGCGGCCGACAATTCCCACTCTTTGTCCAGCCTTGCAGGGATGTGCTTGCCATGCTTGCCTTTTGCCTTCTGTCGAGTCCATAAGGCCTGTATGTCAAGGCAGATTTCATCCAGAACCTGAGGCTACATGTAGCGGCTACATCCCGTGCAGAACAGACCTGATACATTGCCCTTTCAATCAATCGGGGCATGGCGACGGGCAAGCCCTCGCGGTATCGCATGACCACCTGGGAAACAGTGCTGTGCTGTGCTGCGCTGTGCTAAGCCATGCGGCTTTGAGAATTCGCTTGGCGAGGCTCCTTGTCCACCTGGATGTTCCCTTGACCTGGAGCACAGCATGTGCCCATGTGCTCTCTTTCGCTCTTTTTCGCGCTTCCGCATCGCTTCGCACACAATCAGAGAGACCCTGGCTGGGCCAGCTCTCTCCAGGGCTTGCAAGCCGCAGCGGCGCCTCCTGGCAGCTGTCACCTCTCGTCTCCTTTTCTCTCGGAACTCTTTCGGATCTCTCCTGCTTCACATTGGTCACGTAGTTCTGCACGCGCTCCACGGAGACCATCTGCGTCTCCCTGCAAACTCCAAGGCTGCGGCAGCGGCTGTGACAAGCTATGCCACGAATCATGCGCAGCAAAATGCGCAGCAACTGCAGAGTATGAGGCAGAATTTACCATACGACGATACGTACAGTGCGTCACGCCCCGATTAATTGTCATGCAAGACTCAGGATGTTCTTTAAGGTTCCATCGAGCCTGTCGGCTGACTCGCGGTTCACCTGCAAGTTTGAAGGATGGTTGTCTTTTCTTTGGGCTTAGCCAGCATTTGTCGCCTGGTTCAAGGTGTCTGTGAGGCGAAGTGCATAAGTGATGGCCAACCCCACGAGACCTGCAGACACCTGCTGGCCAATCACGGCTTGAAACCATAAGATCGATTGACCTCGGCCTGCTTGTTGGTAGAGAGGAAAATGCCTTCAGAAGCGTGACCGCTTTTGAAAGTGGAATGTGCTCAGCATGGAGCGCAGTCTCATCCAACAAACAGCTAGCACTCAGCTAGTTATGCTCTCCCTGCGTTGCAGCACTGGAGGGTGCTTCGGATCAAGCCGAGTCAAGCCGAGCTGCCCAAAATGCTCACGGCGCCTACCTGTGAAAACCACGGAGAAAGTTTAGTGCTCCGTTCTGCTCCAACGCTGCGCTCTTGCTGCACTTTGACAAGTTATGCCCGGCCAGGATGGTGCCGTTGAACTGCAAGCGCAGGCTCAGCCAACGAGCTGCAGTGTTGCTGAGGTAGTAGGCCTCAGCAAAAAAAATTGCCAACCATTAGAATTAGAAGCCCTCTCTGAAAAAAAAGGCTCTTTCTGCTCAAGCCCGGAGCCTCCATTTGGCTCTCCAGCCTCACAAATGGCCCCACACGAAAATCTAAATTCCTCCCCTTCCTTGCCCCTGGCCTGGTCATGTTGGTGTGCAGCGCTCGTTCCTGATAAGCCGTTTTTGGATTGTCCTGCCTTCATTTAAATATGCTCCATATGGGTTCTCCTGCTGCTGCATGGCACGGATGGTCGAAACGCCTTGCATGGACTCCGAAAAGTGGCTGAAAATGGGGCTGCGCGCCGCCTCACTGGCCAAAAGCTTGCAGAATATTTTGGCAGCTTTAGCAACGTATGAAAACTCTGCGCTTTGCTTGCTTTTTGCAGCCAGGAACCGCGTCAAGTCGTCGGAGGTCTCGTGTTGCCGGCAAATACCTCTGCGAGGAATGCTGTCCGAACACGGCGTGAGCAAAGCATCCCAATTATACAGGCATCTTTAAATCTCTTCTGCAACTTTTGCCTTGCCGCCTTGCCTTTTCTTCATCAGACTTGCCCTGCATTCCCCCCAAACCGTCCTTCCCGACTCCCGCGCAACCCCCTTCTCAAAAACGTTCGCCCTCTGACCAAGCCACACGGCTGATTCGCGTAGATTCGTAGATTCTTAAACGTGCGGAGCAGCTTCTATGGCCTATGGGAGCTCAATGCCTTACTGTGGTTGAATCTGTGGCGCCCGATCCGTGCATATCCGTGCCACCTCTTCGCCAGGCGCGCGTACAGAAGAAACATGGGCACCATCAGGATGATCAAGTACCTGCAATCAGGAGGCGGTGACTGCGGAGGAAGAGCAGTCCGAGAGCTGAGAGCAAGGCCATCCCACAAGCATGCACACCTCAAGCAGGGACACAAACGAGCTCGGAACTCGGAGCCTCTTTTTACTCTGACACTAAAGCTTGCCAAATGCTCTGTGCAAACAAGCGCGCTCGGCAACGAGGGGTGGCCATTTTCTCTCGCTTGCAAAAGCTAGAAGTGACTCAGCGTACGTCTAGGAGATAAGTGAACCAATGGCAACACGAACACACAGGTTACACGCTCGGGTGCCCAACTTTCACACTGGTACTATTTCTTTGGCTCACGTGTCTCCCGCAGTTGGCTTGCAGGGCATTGCAACCACGCTCCAAGCTTGATCATCAGGAAGGGGTCGAGCTTTGTGAGGCCGTCCGCGTGCATGAACTCGGTAGGGACCCAATGCACTTGCTTGGGGCTCACGGTCTCTTGCACGGACCTGATATTGACCAGAGAGCGTTTATCGGACACATTCTGGTCGTCCTGCATGATGCAGTCGAAGAGGCTCTTCGCGTCCACAGCGTGCAGGTTCTTGAGTCTGCATCCGATCTTGTGCGCCGGCTCCCCGAACAACAACTCGCTAAGGGACATGTTCGAGAAAGCCGCCCTGTCTGGTCATTCGTCAGCAGCTGAGGCCTCTGAAGCCAAGGTGCTTCTGCACACACGCGAGCTGCGTGCTGTTTTCCAATCGATGACGGTCGCCTTGGTTGGAACCTCAAGCACCCCGTACTGGGACTTCGGGTCAAGGTTGTTGGCCCACGAAGAATCCGGGTAGGTGACAATGACCGTGGTCATACTCATAGGTATGTCCTGGTAGCAGAGCCCACAGGTGCTGGTATTCTTCAAGTAGTCGACAGTCTCGTAAAGGTGCTTCAGGTCGTGGAAAGTCGTCTGCTGGCAAGGGTTGGACAAGCTAACCACCGGTCCCACTTCTGGACGGGTTTGCGATGTAATCCACTGAAGGGATCCGGAAACGCTCTGGAACTCTTTCCACTCCTCAGCTGTCAGACGTTCGTCAGCCTTGGCTCGGCCGCGAGGAAGGGAACCAGAAGCCATCCCGTCGATGAAGGCCTTCTGAGTGATCTTGTAAGTGATCCTGCCGCCCTTCTCCACGAGAGTGATCTCTTTGCTCCTGTAGGTGCCGGGATGGAGCTTGTCAACGATAACTACTACGGACCCCCACACAAAGAGGCTCTCAAGTATCGTCTTTTCGAAATCCGCGTGGAACCTACACAGAAATTCGTCCACGTGCACTATCATCACTGCGCGGAGCCGGTTCTTCTTGTCCAAGTGTCCAAGAGGTAAAAGGGGCATCGATCAAACCCATGTTGCTTCGATGGCTCTCTTAACGTAACGACACGGCGGCTCCAAACGCGTGGTGCATCAGGAAGTCCATAGCCGTAGCCGTTCCCCAGGACCCCGTACATCTCAGCAGACTTGCCAGTCTCGCTCACTAGAGCGTCACGAGGAATAACAGCCCCCTGCGCTCCTCACGGTTCTGCTCGCCCTGGAGGAAAGCGCTTTGGGCATCCGAAATCCAAAGACTCCATATACCAGGTTCGTTGTTCGTCTCGCCGTTGGCCCCTGCTGTAGCGATTGACAACACCAGTGACTCTGACAATCGAGAATCTCGTGACAGGTGGAAGAGGTCAGGATCGCAGCAGCCGATCAAAACAAATCTGCACTTGGAGTTAATTTCGCCCAGCCCCTTGTTCCTCTCTCTGTAGGCGGAACGCGACTTAGGCACTCGACGAGCAAGTTCAGGGGCAGACATGACCTTGCGGATCTCATCTGGCTTAGCTGAGCCAGCTGTCGTGTTCAACGCGCACTGATTCGAGGAACTTCTCGTAGGCGGCTCAGGGAAGGTTCACAAGCTCCTTCCACGGTAGCTCACGGTCCCACGGTCTAGCTGCTTGAGCTCCTGACGCGAGTGGGTGCGGTTGTTGGAAACTGTCAGGTCCTTGTCGTCGGAAGAGGCGTCCTCGTGGTTGGGCTCTTCGTTGACGCGCTGGCTTGTCATCTCCAACTTTCTGGCCTTGCTGTTAGCATAACACTTGTAGAAGCCGTTGCGCGCGAAGGGCACGCGGAAGTCGTTTGCGTCACCGTTGTCCTCGAGCGTCGCCTCACCGAAGTCGTCGACAAAGTAGCGGAAGGCGCCTCAAGTGTACAAGGTGTCCGCGGGTCTCTTCTGAGGGCGCGACACCAAGGCAGGAGTAGACGTCCGGTGGCTTTGTTCACTTGTGCTGTTCTGCTTGAGGAAATACTTGTGCAGTTGAAGTTGAAAAAACTTTGTCCGGGAGGAAGCACGGGACCACTGCGCGGGACTGCAGCTTCGTTGTGCTCGTTGCGCGTGGTGTCGTGGGGCTCCTCGTTCACCAACTTGCCTTCGGCGCCAGGCGGCGAAAGCTGAGCCTCCAAAGTCTCCTCGTCAGGACCGTAAGCTGGTCCAGGAAAGCTGGTAAAGTCTGAAAGGAGGCATCTCCGGGACGCCGGGGCTGAAAGCTTGTTCTTCGAGCTGAGGTAATGCTTGTGGTGCCTCAGGTAGTTACAGGCAAGTGTTTGAGGAGCAGCGACGCCCTTCGAGAGACGGCCTTGTTCTCGGTCCGTAGGTGTTCTCGATCTCGGTCGGGATCTCGCTCTCGGTGTAGGCGGCACTGGCGAAGATGGCGTAACTGTCACCGATCTGTTGTCGATGTACGTCCTGACGCT